CAATTACTTTTTAACTGAAACCTAGAGAATCATAGGTAATTGATTATACTGTTTTCGAATATTAACATAATTTTTTCCGTTAGTTCTTCAACAACCAGTTTTCTACAACGAAAATTTTTTTTATCTGTCTAGTTTGTAGATCGTCTTGGGTTGAGTATAACAGGATGTGGGAGTATATGTGAAATAGATATCTCGCCTATACCCTTTTTAACGTAAATAAAACTTTGTGTATGATAAAGTCCTTTTGAAGTTTTTTTCGTCACCGGACCTCAGAAGATGAGAATTCGGAATCCTCCAATGAGTTGGAGAATATGTTACAGATGTTTAGACATAATGATAGAATATAGTTTTGAGAAAAAAATATTTTTATACTCAACTCAAAACGCTCGCCAAACTCGATAGATCAAAAAATACTCTGCTATTGAAAACTAATTGTTAAAAAAATCAAATGTTTGAACGTCTAGCAACAAAAATCATGTTCGTAGTCGAAAACACCATAATTGATTAGCTATAATTCATTAGATTTCGGCTAAAAATCGACTAAACAGTGAGTGAATTTCTCTCAATAGTTAATTAAAACTATTAATTTAAACAAAATGATATCATTCTACGTCAAACTATTTATTTTTAAAATCTTATTTTAAATTCTTAATCCAGTAAAATCGAATAGCTTTCTTATCTATAAAATTGTTTATAAGAATTTTCTTTAATCTAAGCAAGACAATCAAAACAAATGAAGAATCTTTATTTTTTATATAAAAACAAAAAATTGAAATCACTAATCTTATTATGACATGTTCTTATTCGAAAGGACAATTCATATAGCTGATCTAATATAAATGTATACTCTTTAAGGGTAAGAACAATCTGAAAAAGGTCTCTATATAAAAAAGGACATTATTTTTACAAATATGAATATGTTAATATCATCGGCTGTTGTTTTTTTCTTCATATTTGTCTCTCTGATCCAAATAAACAATACATCTCACGTTTCCGATTATTATTCTTCTATAGAGTTTATCATCGTAAATTACTTAACATATATTGAAAATTTCACTCATTATAAAATAAGTAGTTTTTTTTTTTGAGAAAACACTTATTTGTAGAATTTTATTAGTTGTTTGTTGATAATATCAATGTTAGTTAAAATAGATAAGTAACATATGTATGTAAATTTCAATTGTATATTTAGGAATGTTTTTGTTATTGTTTTTTGACTTATAAATGCTAATCGACATTCCTGTTTTGATGTCGAATATTGATACACATCGTGTCATTTATCAGTAGAACATAAACAAATTGTTAAATAGATGGCAACGACCATCTGTTAATATTTGTATAAATACTTCTACAGTCTTATTTGTCTGCTAGTAGCTTCTTTCGATATAGTTTTTATTGCATTAAGTCTTTTATTTTACATCGATGATTTGTTGTGTAAGCATCGATAAATCAAATTGTTGTTGACCCTTGTCGAAAGAATGTAACGCATTAATATTTAATACATATGTTAAACATTACATAGAACCTAAAGAAAAAAACTTAACCGAGATCAATTTAAGCATTTCGTTTTAGATTTTTAAGTTAAAATTTTCTTCATTAAGTGTTTTGAGTAACATTAAGATAAATTTCTTTATTTTAGTCAATATTTTTGTTATATTTGATTAAAATCATGTTGTTCTATTATTAAATTTATGTATAATAGATTAATCAATGATGTAACTAGATAATCATTGACTATTGTAGAGATGAAGAAACACTCATTTGAATATATTATGATTTTCAAGATTCGAGAGAGAAAAAAAGAATTACAAGAAGATTGTATTTTTTATTTAACGTCTAAATAATAGCAATCAATGTGATTGTTGTTGAACAAATTTTCATGCGTTTGTGTATCAATAGATTTTTAATAAAAAAAAAAAAGCAAATCTAACAAAACATTGTTAATAGAAAAAATCTTTTTTTCCAATCATCATCTTCTACAATTGATTTATTTATTTTATTGAAATAGTTTTATCATAGTTTATAACAACACCGCACATAATCCTCAAGTCGATTAATCAAAATAGAACTTTTTATTCTTCTTTCTAGGACACATCCGTTTTCATTCATTCTCTCTCTCTCTCTCTCTCTCTCTTTCTCACACTCATCGTGCTTTGTAATATAATTAAAGAATCAACTATCTATACAAATTTTTGTTGTCTTACTATATTGCCTTCGTCTAGTAATTTTTTTTTTCCTTGACAATGACAAGTGATACAAAGAAAATATAGAAATGGTAAAGAAGATGAGAACAGGTTGATGAAGATAACTTACTTATTGATGATTAATATGCAAGTTAAGAAGCATTAAAAAACAATAATATTTGTCAGAACTATCCAATAATGATCAGAATAATACGCCAAAAGTCAACTTAGAAGACAAATTACAACGACAATTAACCAGTATGTGTATGACATAAGTATAATGCTTAACTTGCCATAATATTTGTGTCAAGTGTTCGGTATATGTATTAGGCTCTATATTCTTTCGTTTCTTTTCTTTTACATAAACCTATTTATTTGATTAATAGATGGAAACATTTTTTACCATCGTTAATCTTCTTTTGGAAACGTATATCTTCGATGTACGAGATTGTGAGGTTTTTCTATTTAATATATCGATAAAGTTTAATTCTTTTTTCAACTATAATGATGTTTCTCATCTATTGACAAGTATAAGATTCATATATTCTTTTTAATCTAAATACATAAATATACGTCGGTCAACTGATTATATATTTAGAATATTATGATCCATATGTAATTAAATTATAAAAATATTAACTTATGAAATTGAGATATTAACCGCCGAGATAATTGCAATTGCAACTGTTTCTGAATAATACTATTTGAAAAAAAAACAATAGGAATATTATTGATCTATATTACCTTCAAAATAGAAAAGTAATTTCCTTAGTAGTTTAATGTTACTTCACAGAAAAAAAAACCGGTAATACTTAGTCATGTTTCCGAGAGAAAAAAAAACAATGAATTTTCTTTTTACTACTGTCTAGTTTTGGTTTAGAAAAACAAAACTTCAGACAGACATTTACTATTTTAATAGACGTTTTGTGACAAGGACGAAACGTTTCAATGACGAATTACTGTCAGGTTGATTACATAGGAATAGTATTAATAGTCTGCATTTGACAACGTATCATTGGAAAAGTCATATCTGTGTTCTCTGCGCACCAAATGGGCAATTTTCTTCGTAATATCGATGTTCCCGCTGTAACATTTTCTTCCTTTTTCTGTATTAGGAAGATGCCCAAAATGCATGTTCTTGTAATAGAACGAACATAAACAATACGAAACATACAAAGAAGTTCAAGTAAGATACATTAATTTGAAATTGTTTTTGTTTATTTTTTAATACAGTGAAAAGAAAACGAAAGAAGTTAGAAACGTAAATATGTGTAGAAAAATTGCTCATATATTTATTCATTCCATTTACGAGTGTTTATATTTTAATTATTATTTTAAATTTATTTTATAAATGTAATATTTTTTTAAAATATACGTTTGAAGCGACATTACCTGGAGAGATGGTCATTATAAAAGAGAAAAAAAAAAAACTTGAATGTCTCTACTCTATTTTAATGAAATGAGTTAATCTTTTTTCTCAATGAAAAAATGTTCAAGGACTTCTTTCATACGAGAAACATTAATAAATGATGCATTTATAATATTATAATCAACTTCAAGAAGGAAAAATGACGTTTTACAATTTTTAAAAAAATATAATACACATGTGTATTAGTTGAAATAATAAATCCCTAAAAATTTTCTTAACAAAGTAAGTTTATTTTTGTTTTGAATTATCGAGAGTTTAATCTATTTGAGATAAAACAAAAAATCTCTTATAATTCAAAACTATAATTCATTTAGATAGTTTTTCAAAAGTTGTAGAATAAGATTAGTTTTTTCCTAGTTGAAGCCAATTAAAATATCATAATGTTAGATTTTAGTGACGTTAGTCATATGAAAGAAATCTTTGAAAAAAATATTAACCTATTTCATTAAAATAGAGTAAAGATATTTCAACGTACTTTTTTACTATGATCCACTTCAATAAGTCACATTGTCTTTAATGTATCAATGACAATATGATGATTAGAACATTGTTTTTTGTTTATTTCTCGATAAAAAATAGAAGATAATGGAGGAAAAGCTCTACTGAGAGAACAATAAGAAAAAAGCTTCGAGAATAATTTTTATAAATGAATGTTTTTATTCCCTAATGTAAAGTTGTCGTCCTTTGTTTTTTTTTTTACTTGTTCACTGTCAATTATACTCCTAATTCTTCTCACTTTCTCGGTCTATATTATTTCTATTTTAATATTATATATATATCAGAATGACATGACGATTACATTGAAGTCTTATAAAAGAAAGAAATATAATAATAATAATAATAATAATAATAAAAGGAATGTAGATTATTCGTCTTGCTCGAGATCTTCTTTTTCTTTGTCTATTAAACATACTCTCTTTTTTTTCCTTTGTTAGAACAAAAAAGAATATGTTACTGATATTTTTTTTCTTTTCACTACTATGACATAGTTTATGTTCTTGAGAGAAACTTTTGTTTGCTTTGTCACCTGTTGTCCTAACGAAGAACATTGTTTCTTTTAAAAATTAATTATCTAAGAAATGACACAAAGTATGAGCATTAAGTATTTTATTTTTCCCTGATATTTATTCTTACTTGAATTTAACTTCGACGTTAGAATAAATAGGTAAAAAAGGAATTGACTGATAATTCTCATCTGTTATTTTCTTTTCATGTAAGTAAATGTGATTATTAATAAATGAAGAAGAAAATAAGACAATGAATAAAGTTTTTTTTCTTATATATATTTCTATATCTTTATTTTTAGTATAGTTAAATAAACTAATCATTTTGGAATTTTTAAATGAATAATAATAAATATTATGAAATTCTATGAAACGTTTTTATGAATGAGTATGAATGTTAGTTTACAAATTCCATTTCAAATTTCAAATTCTTCGACAATATTTGTCGATATATTATTTCAAAAAATTCTCTTGGGATTTTTATTATTTAGTTTATCAATGTTTACTGTATTTGGTAATTTTCTTGTACTTTATGCAATACGAACAGAAAAACGTTTAAGAGTCGTATCAAATTTATTTATTCTTAGTTTAGCATTTGCTGATTTAGTTGTTGGAATGTTTGTTATGCCTTTAAGTGCAGCAAATATTATGGTTGGTCAATGGCCATTTTCGTTTGTTCTATGTCAAATATGGTTATCAACTGATTATGTTGCCAGGTATATGGAATATTTTAATGAATAAATTATTAAATACTTTATCGAGAGGAGATTTTTACAAGATATATTATATAAAATTAAAATAAATAAGATTATACTCTAGTAGAAAAAAAAAACAATACAAGAAAAAAAGAAGAATTTTATTATCAAACGTAAAAATCTCTACAATAATTGCATCATATTAAAAAAAAAACGTTTTTTTTTCTAATACTCTAGAAATAAAATTGAATATTCTTTACAAAGAAAAATTCTTATCTGTGAATATCTAAATATATCTATTATTATAAGTTAATAGATGTTTTTATTTAATATAAAAGTGTTTATGATAAGAACTTAGAAATTTCTTGAATCTATTTAGTAAAAAAAAAAATATTTAATGATTTTATATTTTTGTTAGTACTGCTAGTATATTTAATCTTGTTCTTCTGAGTCTTGATCGTTATTGGGCTGTTGTTCATCCATTACTTTATCTTCGAAATCGTACATTTAAACGAACAATTAGTTTTATTATAATTGTTTGGTTAATATCATTATTATGGGCCCCAGCAGTAATATTTTGGTCACATATAATGCCTGAATATAGTGATATTATAAAATCAACTGAATGTGATACATCATTTCGTTCAAATAAATTATTTAAAACTTTAACAGCTTTAATTAATTTTTATATTCCATTATTAACAATAATAATAATATCATGTCGTATAATGATTGCAATACGTTCACGTTCAACAATGGAATTTGGTAGACGTATATCATCAACAACACGAAAACAAATGAAACAAAATCAAATATATAATAATTCATCAATAATACGTCATAATTTACAAAATAATGAAAGAAAAAATTCAACATATTTATTATCAAATAATATTAAGGAAAAACCAATATCAGTATCAATTATTGTTAATCCATTTGATTCAATAATAACAAATTCAAACATTCCATCATATAAATTTAATGTTAATAGTCAATTATTAATTAAAACAAATGAACAAAATAATAATAATAATAATAATAATGTTTGGCAATTAGAATCAAATGAATCTTCTTCAATTGATAATACATCTTTTCAATTATCTCATTTAAAACCTATTCAAATATTATTTCCATCATTATCTTCAAAAAATAACAATCATAAACGTAAAAGTGAAGATATATCAAGAAATTTTTCTAAGAAAAATATTATGAAAATTTCTTCAAGTGTTTCAAATAATATGAAATATGCTGAAAAACAAACAAATATAACATCAATTGATTTAAAACATTTACCACGAACATTATCAACATCATCAACGACATCTGAAGAATGTCAACAAACAATATGTATTAATCCAATTGAACAAGATTTCTCAATGCCAATAGAAAATATTAATGTGTAAGTGTTTATATTTACAATTATATCAAACGTTTTAACAAAATTTTTAGAAGCAATATAATTAATACTTTTTAACTATTGTCAATAATATAGCAATCGTACAACCAGAAGAAGTTCGTCTTCTTCAAGTCAGATTTTTTTTTTCTTCAAATCTCACTATAGAGGCTCAAAGATCCATAGAAGAGAGAATAATCGAACCTCTTCTCTCTTTACCATTGCAATAGATTGATTATAGAATAGATTTCACAGAAAAGACGAAGTTCAATCTGATCTTGAAGTTTCGATTGAATTTCCAGAAAATATCCTCAAGACACCTTTCCACGTTTCTCAACAATGGCTCAATTAAAACGTCTAAAACTTTCAAAGTAATTAGATCTCGACAAGTAGATCAAAAATTGTCATAAACTCAGAATTCTTGGATGCTTCCTTCAATATGAAATATAAAAGACATAAGAACCAAAAATAACCTGAAGTTTTATGCCCCGTCAACAGCTATCATTTACTATTTTTCTCATAACTAGGATCAAATTGGGACGTAGATTTTATTGTTTCGTTCGCTTAGGAGACCCAAAAATACTGGAAATTCTATCAAAAAATTTGTTTTTTTTTGCGTAAGGGAAAATTTGGGAAAAATTGCAAGAAGATTATTTTAAGAAAAAAATAAATAAATATATCCCAATCTGATTCTAGTTGTCACATAACAAAATTTAGTTCAATCAGTTGAAATGTCTGGAAAGAAATTTAAATTTTTCTGTTTAAAAACTGACTTTTAGAAAAACGAGAAATAATATGCACAAGTCACTAATTGAATTTTTTAATGATTGAAAACAATTTTTTAATCTCTAAATGTACTCAATAGATAGATACTACTTCAGACAATATAATAGCCAAAAATAAATAAAAAATTTTAATCATGAAAGGCGATTAGTGTGCCCGTAAACATAAACTGAGAGATAATTCAAGGCATTAACCATAAAAGATAATGTATACTGCAAAATGGACCGTGTAAAGCTTTCCAATTTACAAAAAAAGACTCATTTAATATATATGCACTTTTGATTTTCGAAATGAATAAAATTTTGTTCAAACTATTTTAGAAGCTGTGAGCTAACTCTTTTTTTATACTCAAGCATTTTTTTTCTCATTTCATTCATCAGTTAAACATCGTTTTTAGTTTCCTCTCATTGCATATTACTGATGATAATATTTCATATATACTAATCAAAAACATATCTATCAGAACTGTTTATTGTTTATCTGTGATTATTTATAAAATCCTCTTCATACCATATCAATGATTCTAGCTTTATGCTAATAGCTGTTTACTTTCATATTTCACATGTGAAGCAGTGAATAGTATTTAGAAATATTTAAACCTGAATTTGACTGAATTTAAAGGTGCTTTCATAATTGTCTATATTGTTCAAGAAAAATTTGCACAACTATCTAAATACTCGACACGGTATGAACCTGAACCGTTCGATCCAAGTTGGAGTTCAAGTTCATTGCATACCTACATCTAATCATACCAGAATTGTCTTCAAATTAGTGGCGGAGCCAGGGGTGGGCCAGAGGAGGCTCAGCCCCCTCTAGAAACCTTTGAGCCCCCTCTAGGATGAAAACGATCTAGCATTAAGATGGAAGAGCATACTTATTTTCAGCCTCAAAACTGTAGCTAGAGGGGGCTCAGCCCCCTC